CTCCAGCTCTTTAGGGAGATGTTTGGAGGGTTTGCACTGAAATCCTGAAACGTATACGATGTTTGGCATGGTAGGTCGTGGAAACTCAAACGTGAAATCGTTTCTCATCAGCCAGATATCAGCTGCCTGGAACAGTTCCATGTAATGAATGTCACCGCCAAAATGACGCTTGACAAAAGGTTTGTAGTTGGCATCTGATATTACCAAAATTTGGAACCAATTGTAGAAGTAGAACATGAAATTTTTGAGCTTTTGAGTAAATGTCATCTTATCAGTTAGATCTGCCATTGGTATAGGAACGTAGGAAAGTGGGGAAGGTGCGATTGCTTCATGCCCCTCACCCTGAATAGTCCATCTGACATTAAAGACAAGTGGAAGACCCAAACGATGACCAAGAAGAACTCCTCCACCGATTGCAGGATCAGTGAGCATCAGATCAAATTTGGCATCACGGAGGCTCTGCATAAGCTTTGTATCCTCAAAGATATCTTCAATTGTTTCAAGAGCCTTCTTGGTCATCTGATAAAAGTTTTTCATTAGCTCAAATTCTACAGAAAGGCGAGACCAAATTGAAGATCCTTGACGACGCATGTTTAGTGTTTCCATGATTAATGACCCAAAGCCATCTTCATCAAAACCAGCTGAGGAAATAGTGATAGACGTGTAGTAAGGGGACTTCTCCTTGATGTACCAGGAGTCTGAAGGGCGCATCACAGTCACTTCATGGCCTCTGGCGTGAAGCTCCTGAATCATAATGTTCATGTTGACCCAGTGGCTTCCATCCAAAGGGAACACCAAGACTTTCCCTCCGTTTACCAAAGACGATGAGCAGAGCAACACTGCAAGTGTCACCAGGGTCAGTCGGTACATCTCTGAAAGATATTCTGACAGAAGATATAAAGATGTTAGAGCTTTTCATTAAGAAAGACTACTGATTAAAGTTTCCACCTGCTGAAATATATGGATTTACCTTATTTTAGCTACTGTGTTTCTGCCAAACTGAACAGTTTTCTAAGACTTGACAAAAGTCCAACTAAGACACTGAACAGACATTGAATAAATCTGGAAGTTGTGTTTATTTGTCAGTTGCAGTTCATTTACCGTTTAACATTTTCTAGCAAAAAAGCTGTGTACTTGAATTGTCAGGTCTGTTTGCCAAGATTAAAAACTCTCGCTTAACTTCTCAGCTGTTCTTTTACTTAATGAGCCTATGTTGTTTTTAAGGTGGCTATATTTTTAGTTATTGTTATTCATGAAGACATGATTCAGTTATGCAGAGACATGACGTAAATCATCAACTTGAAGTGTACAGTGAGTTGTTTAATTGGAGCTACAACTGGAACATTTACACATTTTTAGTATGAGATGCAGTAAGTGTTGACCCAAAGCATCAAACTAGATTTTGAATATATTATATTGTTTATATGCAAAACTTTCTAGGCTAAAATTTGGTTACAAAGAAAAAAATCAACATCCAAGAGATAATGATTGTCTAAATAAATCACAAACTAAACATGAATGTTTTGAAAAAATGTGCTATCAGATATTGTCAGTAGTTAGTAGTTTATCATCTTGTAAAGGTCAAATAAAAGGTTTAGATGAGAGTGAGACCAGCCATGTCGTATGGGTTAGAGACGTTAGCTTTAATAAAAGACAGAAGACAGAACAGGAAGTGGTAAACCTGAAGATGTCAAGGTTCTCCTTCGAAGTGAGAAGGATGGGTAAGATTAGGAATGAGCTCTTCAGAGGTACAAAGGTTGAAGGACTGGAAAATAAAGTTAGAAAGACCACTGAGGTGGTTTGGACATGTCCAGAGGATGGACAGTGGGTATTTTGGTCGAAGGATGTTAGAGATGCAGCTGAAAAGATAAGACAAAAAAAGAGATGTAGGGATGCAGTTAGAAAGGACATGGGTTAAATTTAGGATGAAATAAACTGGATACTTCTTTTTAACCATTTTACTTCACTTAAATTGACATTTGGTGATAACAGTACATAAACAAAATTATTCAAATCCAGACAGATAATTTGCATCATTTAAAACAACAACAACTTTGTTTCATTCTGATTGTAGGTCTGCTTAATTGATGGAGTTACAAAGAAGTATTTGTGAAGCTTTATAAATGATTAAGATTTAGATTTTATAAAAGTATTGATTAGTAAAAACAGGCAAATAAGTAAAAAACACTTGTAAAAAAACATGATCAAGTAAAGGATATAACAGAAAAACATTTTTTAAGATGAAGCTTTTCAGTAAACCTGTAGTAAATTCTCACAAGCTGTGTTTCCATTACAAATGTGCGCAAAATGTTGTTGATATTCTGTTAATGTCGAAAAACACAGTTTCGCAATTGCTGTGTTTCCATTAAGTAAGTAATGCTATTAAAGTCACGCGTGAATATGTTTGTTCTCACGATAAGTCATTAAAAACATGGCAGCAATGGATGTAAACACATGCATATTTGCTACCATAGCACTCATCATCAGCCAACCTTTTGTCAAGACTTTCGAGTGACAAGCCCCTTATACTTGTGAGCGGATACGTATGCGGCATTTTTGGGAACTTGTAGTTGGTGAGTTTACTACTTTCTTTTACAACTTCTGTGATTTTACTACTACTTCTACTTCCTATTGTCTTCTTCGTCGTCGTCTTTTTCGCCAGTAGAAACAGCAGGTTGTTGATCGCGTGACTCCCGTGATGCAAAAAAAGTGTTTCCATTGCAATTTTGCGAAACACACCAATTTTGATACGGCCGAAAAACCACCTCATCCAAAGGCCAAAACATTTTGTCAAAAAAGGGAAGTTCTTTCGAAATTGACGTGTTTCCATTGAGCAGATTTATTTTCGAAATCCTAATTTGCGCATTTTCATTGTCAATGGAAACGCAGCTAATGACAGACGACATTTTTACATGGAATATTTGAAAGTAACAGAAAAACATCTACTAGGAGTGATAACTTTAGCTGAAATCCATAAAGTTTATTGCTAGGTGTTTCAACTTTCTGTGGATTCAGTAAAACTTGTATTTAAGAACAAACATTCTCTGACTGAACAGCAAAAACTGTTTTATTCTCCTTATTCCTTTTTGACCTTGCTTTTACAAAAGACTTTCTTGCAGAGAAACTTTACTGCATAAATAAAAACAGTAAAAACAATCAAAACAACAGTGATTAGGAAAGCCATAACATCTATTGAGTAGTACTGGATGGTGGACATCTTGTAGGACTCTGTCCTCAGATGTGCRGCTCCTTTGTGCCTCATGACAAACTCAATCCAGAACATGGCTCGGTCCAGTGGTTTCATGGGCTGATCTCTGTGCAGGCTGGACAGCTCCTTCATCTTCTCCCTGTATGACGGTTCATAAAGAACCTCCTTCAGAGCCTCCAGGAAGATGTCTTTGTTCACAGTTCCATAGTCCAGGACTTTGGCCACACCTCTTACTTCCATTTTGAAGAAGTTGTCCTGCTGGTCAAACATGAGCGGCATTCCAACCAGGGGTACGCCRTGGTAGATGGCCTCCTGTATCCCATTGGTGCCTCCATGAGCCACAAAAACCCTGGTCTTGGGGTGTCCCAGGAGGTCATTTTGGGGCAACCAGTCCAARAGYAAAGTATTGTTGCCAAGGGTGGATGGCTTCTTGCCTTTGTGCCTCCAGATGACCTTCTGAGGAAGTTCTGCAAAAGCAGCAGCAATGTCCTCAGTGACGTCCAGGGGAAGTTTTTCCACCAGAGTTCCCAGAGTCATCACAATGACTCCATGTTCCCCAGAGCTCTGTACAAAGTCCTCCAGATCTTTAGAGAGAGGTTTGGAAGGTTTGCACTGAAATCCTGAGATGTATACGATATTTGGCATGGTAGGTCGTGGAAACTCAAAGGTGAAATCGTTTCTCATCAACCAGATATCAGCTGCTTGCAGCAGCTCCATGTAATGAATGTCAGTGTTTATGTGACGATGAGTAAAGGGTTTGTAATTTGGTGTCACAACATACCAAGTCTGAACACATGTGAAGAGAAAATAAAGGATGTTCTTGACCCTTTCAGTAAAAGTCATCTTATCACTTAGCTCTGATCCTGTTATAGGAACATAAGAAAATGGGGAAGGTGCGATTGGTTCATGCCCCTCACCCTGAATAGTCCATCTGGCATTAAAGACAAGGGGAAGACCCAAACGTTGAGCCATAAACACCCCACCACCAAATGCAGGGTCAGTTAGGACTAGGTCAAATTTGGCATCACGAAGGCTCTGCATCAGCTTTTCATCCTCAAATATTGTTTCCACCATTTGAAGCACCAATTTATGCATCAGATAAGCTTGTTCAAATAAATCGTGCACAAGAGAAAGGCGGGTCCAAAGTGAAGCTCCCTGGCGACGTATGTCCAGAGTTTTCAATACGTATGATTCCATTTTATCTCTATCAAAACCAGCAGGAGAATTGATATTGATGGCCTTGTAATAGGGGGAGTCGTCCTTGATGTACCAAGGGTCTGATGGGCACAATACTGTGACTTCATGTCCTCGAGTGTGAAGCTCTTCAATGATGACTTTCATGTTGATCCAGTGGCTCCCATCCACAGGGAAGACCAGAATCTTCCCTCCAGTTACCAAGGGCGAAGAGTAGAGTAACACAGCAAGTGTCAGCAGGGTCAGGCGGTACATCTCTGAAAGAAATTCTGATAGGAGATGCAGAGATGTTAGCTCTGTTCCTTTTAACAAATTAGACTTGTTGAATGTATCCACCACCATACTATGCATTCCCAAGATATGTAAGGACAGAACTTGCCACAAACCTCTCCAGCCTCATGGAAAGCGTGCGAACGGCTAAGAGAAATATAGCTTTAGTATGAAATGCACAACCCATTTGTGACATCAAACAGCTGGTGTTGTAAGGATCAAAATACTAAAGGGCGGTCATGAAAGGAAAGCGTTTTGCTTCGTTCATGGTCCACTTTCTCATCGACTATCTGGTTGACCATCGTGTTTGTGACGTAAATTTCATCACCACGATGTTTTGCCATGTCCCTCTGTGGTTGTGCAGCCCAGGATTTTGTGACACCTTGCACCTGTGTGAGTGTACTGTTCACAACACCCACACCAAAGGGGGCACCAAAGACCCAACATACAAAGAAACCATAACCCTGAGTAGAAGAAAGGAGAAAAAATGGTTGTTTTAAAGAAATGTTGTGTTAGGTTTGTTTTTATACACAGCTGTACAATTTATCACTCAGGAGCCACAAAGACATAAAAACTGATGTAAATTCCTGATGATAAATTATAAAAAAGTTTTTTTTTACTATAAGCCCAAAAACCAGCACATAATAACCACTCACTGAACTGAAGCGGGAAATTGTGAAGCATTAAGTTGAACACCATAGAGCAACTAACCAAAACAGCACATGCAGGTTAACAAGAGAATGCAGGTTAGCAAGGTGTTGCCCAAATGTAGATGGAAACGTTATGAAAGCCGTTAAAGTTCCAGAATACCTAAAGATGAGCATAAACATGAGAAACAATTACATTTCATATCAGCACATTTCTGTATTTCTGCACATTTGCTTGGTTTTATCAGCATATTTTAGAGATATAGACATCAACACCAAAACCTTCTGTATATTAAATGTTTTAAGTGTAAAGTTATAAGCATAAATAATAATAAGTTTTTAAAGTTAGGCACACACTGATTTATAATTGTCACTTTTAGGGTTTCTTTGGTGACACGTACAAAAGCACGTCTTTGTTTGGGATTGCAGGTGTGTTGTTGCCCTTTCCTCGCCAATTATTGAGTGAGAAACCTAAAATTTAAAGTTTATGTAACACAGAGTTTGAAATCTATGATTTTAAGGTAAGAAATTATTGCTTTGTAACTGTTTAAATCAGGAAGCTGTCATGCTTTAGACAAAAATGAAAGTTAATCAGTTTAAGATGTTGATTTACATTTGGGAATATGTTAAAGTAAAACATAATGAAACCTCATTTATAGTGGTGGGCGCAGTTCCACTAAAGCACAAATAGGGAAACTAATTTCCTGATTAATGCTTTAGGGCGTTTGCTAATTGTAATTTTTTTAGTGGATTAGCACTTGCTAAATTTATAGGCTAAAATGAAAAGCACTAACTGAGGTCTTTAAATGTTATTGATCAATGTGAATGTTAAAAGCTGGCGGTGAAAGCTGTTGCACATTTTGTTCATGTGTGTGCCACTGATCCACTAGGTGACATAATGACAATAAATGAACTCATATACGGCTGTGGGATGTCAATGATAAGTCTTAAGAGAGCAATATGGTAATATGTGACTCATGTTGTCTGTTGAAGAATGTTTAATGGGTTGACGACTTCATGAAAAGAGAGGTTTTTAGCAGTTGTTGGCATGTAAAATTGCTGTGAAACTTGAGATTCACGACTGTTAGCATGAATTTTTTGTCACAGTGGAAAACTTTCCAGAACTGCCAGAAATTGTCATGTACTTTGCCTGATGGATAGAGCTTCATCAGAGCTAAACAACCAAAAAATCTGAAGCTCCTATGTTAGACAGTTTCTGAGTTATAAGCATTTTTGCATTTCCAGACACCCCCTCTTTGAAAGGAGCCCCCTCCTCAACAATGGGGTCTATCATAAAACAGTTGGCTGGCGCAGTGTAGGTCTCTACAGTCCTGCCAAATTTCATGTTGATCAGTGCAGCCTTTTTTGTGCTACAGCTGACCAAAAATCACTGAAAAAAAAAAAACAGTACAAAAACAATATGACTCCCGCTTACGCTTCGCGTGCGGGAGTCATCATTATTTAGTTCCGCAAGTCCTAAAGTGCACATTTCACAAGAATTCTAACAGAAGCTAAAACTAAAGCGTAACAATATGTCAGTTCCCCAGAATTTATGTTTCCAGAAATATCATGACACATTCTTGCACAACACTGCCAACCAATGAGACTATTCATCACGGTTTGAGGAAGTGATTGCAGAAACAGACTTTTGACTCATGGTGTTCAAATAAAAAGTTGTGGATTGCAAGTTCTGCTGCTTCTTGGTCATTTTTCTTATGTTTGTGGTAGTAGGGCTTTGGTAAGAAAGCATGCAATATATTAGTAATTTTAAACTGTTTATTGGAGAACTGAAGTGATGCATTCTGGGTAAAGGACGAAGTAAAGGAAACCGTGTTCACTTCAGAGTAAGATCATGAATTTGGGTTGGTGGTTGAAGATGCAGCGTGTCGTAAATTATTATAAATCCTCCCTCTACCCTCTCAAAGTTCATATAAGCATATAAACAACAATAAGTATGGCTGGATTGTTGGGGAAACTTATTTTTCTGTTAACGGTGGTTCTAGAAAAAAGCCGTAAACATGAGCTGATCTTCATTAGGATTAAAGCAGCTGCTGATCCAACTCTTTTAACAACTGGCCTCAGACAAAAAAATCATTTTACACAAATAACATGAAATAAAAGCTGCTGGAGCATTTCTTCAAGTGTCCCTCGCTGTGTGTGTGTGTGTGTGTGTGTGTGTGTGTGTGTGTGTGTGTGTGTGTG